TCCATATTTTTAGTTTAAGATCTTTTTTGAAACAATAAAATGTGGGAAAAAATGTTTAGTATGGAAGGGAAGGAGGGGAAAGGGGGAGAATAAAAAACAAGTAAAAGTATGCTTAATTGACAAAAAATGAGAAGCTATTTACTGATAATGTATACAATAGTCTTTGTCTTGACTGACATTCATGGTGTTTATGCTGGAAAAAGAAATGTACACTGTAAAGATGTGTGATTAAATGTAAATAAATAAAATAAATGTTGAAAAATAAATAAATAAAACTATAAAAAAAAAAAAGAAAAGCTTTTAAGATTGTATCTTTCGTAGGAAGATCATTACTATTGGTGTTGCCAGAAGTTTCCTGCGTATCTGAAACAAATTGATCTCCCTTTATGCATGTCTTTAATTTTAAGAAAGTGTTTTTTCTCCAGGTCCTTTTAATGGAATTCCTTAGATTCCTTCATATAGTCTTTCAAACATATGTCACATTTTTCTGTTGACGTTTTTCATAGTTACAGATTTTCTTTTTATCTCAGAGATAGGGAGCCCAATAAGTAGTTTATATTGAAGCTGAGAAGGCAGGTCTTTCTGTAAAGTGAGATCATAGGATTATCACAGATTCCTTACATATTAGTGTTAGATTCTTGTGAGCATAAATGCTTTCTCTTATTTTCAGATCCTGGCCATGAGGTTGGATGCCTCACCTTGCTGAGAAGAGACACTGGACCTAAATGGCGCAGCATGACTTTGTTCCTGCTTGGCTAAATTTCTCAACACCACAGTCGGCAAAGGTACTGTTGCTTTCCATTCTCTTGGTAACACCCGGAATACCCGGTCTTCTTATCTCTTGCTGACCTTTAGCCTCTATATTCTAATCTGTGATTTTTAGATAATCAACCTTGCCTGAAGATTAATCTTACTTTTAATAGACTAACAATTATGCGACTGCATAATTAGTGGACCTTATTACTGCAAAGTGTCTCATTTCTTTCATTGCATCCTAGGCTTTTCTCATTACATGGCACACTTAAGCCTTCCTTTGCTACCTGCAGCACACTTTGTAGAGAAAACATACCTTCTAACTTATTCACAAGGACAGAGGGGCAGTGGTGAGATATGCCCTTGGATAAACAGACCTCTGAAATGAATGGATATTTGTCTAAAATAATAGATGAGGAGGAAATAGAATGATCATCCAGTTACTATACTGTATGGATCTCAGGTTAAATCCTAGAAATTCTATTTTAGAGGAATTAATCTACGTAATGATTTTGGGGGAACTCTGTTTCATTGGAAGTAAAGACAAATTAAACATCCAGTTCATGTAGGTGAAGGCAGATCTAGTTATAACACACAGAAATTCTTGACAAAGTCAGCCTTTGATAAACTTAAAATGCTTCTTATTTTGCCAACTAATAGAGGAGAATTTATATTTTGAAATATGAATTATTTTAAAGAATTACTTTTTAAATTTTATTTATTCATTCTTTTATTTAAATTTGACCAGAGAGGGACCAGCAGTTGGTGTAATGGCTGTGTCACTGGACTCCGATGTAGTTGACCGTGGTTCAAGTCCCAGATCCGGTGGCTTAATTCATGCCAGGCACGTGTGCGTGCGTGCCCAAAATCCTAAGAGGAAAATGGAAGAGAAGGGATTGTGTTGGGGCCATCCCCCAGGGGGTGATTTTTTGCTTTCTGCCTCTCTCTCTCTCTGTCTTTCTGGCTTGCACACATGCCCTATGGCAAAAACCTCTCAAAAAAAAAGAAAAAGCATGCAGGTAGACCTCGAGGAATAACACTATGCTCTGCAAGGCTTCTCCAATAAGTAGCTTATATTGAGAAAATTTGAGAGTAGCTTATATGAGAAAATTTTGGGTTCACATCCAGAGACCTCCCTAAGGGGGTGGGCACATGGGTGCCCACAATCTGGAACTTGCTGAAAAAGTATACAGATTATATATCTGTAAAGAACAATTGTTGCAGTGTAGTGAACTTGGGAAAAAGATGATGATTGATACTTTATTATTGTCCATAAAGTTACAGTAAGCAAGATTGTATGATTTTTAAATATAAGTAAAGGAATTAAATAGAACAGAGAATATAAAAATGGGCCTCTATGTAGTCAGTTGATTTTTTACTGAAGTGCCTAGGTGTTGCAGTGGAGAAGCAATTGTTTGTTTAACAAATAGTACTGGAACAATGGAATATCTGGAGGAGAGGGAAGAACTCTATCCTTTATTTCACAGCATACACAGAAATTAATTTTAAATGGACTATAACCTAAACTAAAAAGTTAAAACCATAAAATTTTGGCCTAGCAGGTGGTGTGGTAGTTAAAGCACTGGACTCCCACATGGCTGGCCATGGTTCAAGTCCCTAACCTGGCATCTAACTTTTCACTCTCTCTTTCTCGAGAGTGCCTATGCCTTATAACAAGTTAAATAAAAATAAAATGAGTAATTCTTTTATTAAAAAAAAAAACTATTTGCAGAAAACTTAACATTTCTGTAACCTGCTAAAATAGGTAAGATAAAAAAGATTGATTATGTTGAGCTATTGGCAATGATTAACAGTAAGAAAATAAGTGTAAAAATATTTAGTGTTTATGCTACAACCTATAGTTTTTTTATAAGCCCTCGTTTAACATACCTATACTTTTCATGGCTTTATAGACATTGGTCTCTCTCATTTAAGACTAAAGAATGCCATAAAATAAAATTCTTTGGAGTAGGAAAGGGATATTAGAATTTATCTACATGCTGCTTCCTTTAAATTGTGTAACCTCAAAGATGAATTTTCCCTAACCTCTTTCTTCATGTCTAAATCATGTATTAAGTACTGAGTAATATTTAGAAATAGGTGTTTTATGAAACTATAAAAGCTCTCTGCAATTCCTGATTAGCTGCTAAGGTTATAGTTAAACCATTGCTTTCTTACCCAGTTCTAGAATAATTTACAGAAAAAATAGAGCTATTTAGAATTATTTTTAAGGCTTTTCCTCTCTTATTGTAAGATTATTTCTTTATTCACGATAGAGTGTTTGTATGTGCACATGAGAGTGAGAGAGCGGGACAGAGAGATCAGATTCAGATTGCAGTTATCATTTGATATCTGGCTTCTCTGTTTTTATTTTCTATTGCCAGAAGGTGAGAGAGAGGGAGGGAGGACGCAAACACCCACTAAGGGGCATGGTCACACCAGTCCTTTTTCCTCTATTTCTTTCTTTTTTCAAGATTTTGGACATGCATACATATGCGCCTGGTGTTTCTCAAGCCACCAGGTCCAGGACTAGAAAGGCACAATCAGCCATGTGGGATCTAGCTTCTTTATCCCTGAGCTATTAAGACTGACTCAAAATCCAGATTTTGTTGAATAATGCATTTTTGCTATACCATGAGCTGGCCCACAGATTAATCTTTAGAAGTGTCAAGTTTGGAAGCTTATTCTCTATGGTTATTGACAGAGGGGTCCCCCCCCCCACATCTCATGTGAGCAGTTCTACTTTTTCTCCCCTTCTGGTATAAAAGAAGCGAGTTAATTACTGATTATGTAATCTGTCGCTTCTCTAAGCTAACTCAGAGGCCTGTGGTACCTTTAGGATCCATACACTTATAATGGGGGTTGTTACTTTTTAAAAGCCTGATGCATAGCCTAGTAAGATACTGACTTTTTTTTTTTTATTTAACTTTATTTACTTATTTTAATTTGACCAAAGAGGGAAAATGAGAAAGCTAACTGCCAGGTCTGGGACTCATTTTTAACTTTATTTACTTATTTTAATTTGACCAGAGAGGGAAAATGAGAAAGCTAACTGCCAGGTCTGGGACTCAAACTATGGTCAGCCATATGAGAGTCAAGTGCCCTTATACACCATACCACCTGCCAGCCACGATATTAACTTCTAAAAGACTAATCTCTACTTATTTGCTCATCTTTGTATTTTATTATCTTAGTCACCTACAGCCACCTTTGAAAAACACGGAGAGCACATATCCCGAGGAGAAGGTAGATTTGGAGTAAGCCGTCGTCGACATAATTCCTCCGATGGCTTTTTTAACAATGGACCCCTACGAACTACAGGAGGTAAGTCATTTCCAACTTCATAACTGTGTTTAAGCTACCAGTTAGGGTAGGCTTAGGATAGGAGTATGTGTCCATGATCTTAAAATGGCATCTTTTGTAAACATGTTTTTAAATTAGATTCTCTAGTAATCATTATCCTACTATATTGTCTTTTTTTTTTTAATTGCCAGAAGATATGTGTGCTCACCCAAAATAGACAATAAAGAAAGAAAAAACACACTCCAGTGGGAAGCTGTCACACTACAATCATTTTTCCATTTTTCTATCCTCTCGGAATTTTGGGCATGCATACATATATACCTCATGTGTTTCTTAAGCTGCCAGGGCCAAAATTCAAACCATGATCAGCTGTGTGGGACCCAGTTCCCTTAACTGCTAGGCTACATGACTGGTCCTACATTGCCTTTCTAGATCTAACATTCTCATAAATCATTTACTTAGTTGAAGAACTCACTTAGAAATTAGCTCACAAAGAAAAGATGTATTTTATGATTTCTTTGTGTGGTCTTTTTATTGAAAAGGTTCCCTGAAGGCCTTTTGGCAGTACCATAAGTCAGATTAGGAAACATCTGGCCCAATTGTGTCTGAATTTCCAGGAAGCAAATGAACAATCTAATGTATTGCTTTTCCTTACTATTCTAGATTCCTGGCACCAGCCCTCCCTGTTCCGCCATGATTCTGTGGACTCCGGTGTCTCTAAGGGAGCTTATGCTGGAATCACAGGGAGCATATCTGGTTGGCATGGCTCTTCCCGAGGTCATGATGGCATGAGCCAGCGTAGTGGAGGTGGGTCAGGGAACCATCGCCACTGGAATGGCAGTTTCCACTCCCGGAAAGGCTGTGCCTTTCCAGAAAAGCCACCTACAGAGATTAGGGAAGAAAAGAAAGAAGACAAGGTGGAAAAGCTGCAGTTTGAAGAGGAAGATTTTGTAAGTGTGATGCTATAGATGTGTAGTTAAAACCTCTATATACCTTATATACCTTTAAGACCCTGTAAATAATGAACATTCTTAAAATTATAGAAAAGATTGTCCTAAATTTAATTTTTACTGTTTTTAGAAGAAACGAAGTCTATTTGAAGGTGATACCAGAAGTTTTTAAGTTTCCACCTGTAGAATTTTTAAAAAAACAAGACCCTAGTGTCCCTTAAATTTTATAGTTTAGAATTCAAATAAAGTTGTGTAAAAACGTAGTCTTTCAGGGACCACCAGATGGCGTAATGGTTATGTTGCTAGACTCCCACATGGCTTACTGCAGTGAAAATCTCTCAAAAAAAAAAAATGAATTCTGTTTGTATTCTCTATTTATGGCTTGTCTCAATATAGACTCCACACATTCTGAGTGTTCCAACAACCGTATGTGGCTAGTGCATGCCATATTTGGTAATACAGCTCTAGTTATTTTAAGTAGCACATTCGATGATTAGTTACTTCAGGTATAGCCATTTCTTTTTTTTTTTTTCTGGAGAGGTTTTTGCTATAGGGTGCATGCGCTCGCCAGACAGAGAGACAGAAAGTGAGAAATCTCCCCCCAGGGGGGATGGCCACGCCGCAATCCCTTATCCTCCATTCTCCTCTTGGGATTTCGGGCATATGCATGCGCACACGCCTGACATTGAGTTTAAGCCACCGGGTCCAGGACTCGAACTGTGGGTCGACTATGTGGGAGTCCAGCGACATAGCCATTACGCTAACTGCTGGTCCCCAGGTACAGCCATTTCAATATGTTGGTAATGTCAACTAAAAAAGAAATCAAATGGGACCAGCAGATGGCATAATGGTTACATTGTTGGACTCCCATGGTGGCTTAAAACTCAATGTCAGGCGTGTGCGCATGCATATGCCCGAAATCCCAAGAGGACAATGGAGGAAAAGGAATTGTGGTGTGGCCGTATCCCTTGGGGGTGATTTCTCACTTTTTGTCTATCTCTGTCTCTCCGTTGAGCACATATGCCCGATAGCAAAAATCTCTCTTTAAAAAGGAGGGGTCAAATTGGAGCCAGCTCTGGCCCGATGGTTAAGGAGCTGGCTCCCATATATGACCAACCACATGGTTTCAATCCTATTTCTGGTGGCTTGAAAAGCACACTAAGAATGTGTGTGCATGCCTAAAGTCCAGACAAACTGGAGAAATGGAGGCAAAGGAATTGCAGCATGGCCAGGCCCCATTGATGAGGGTGTTTCTCCCTCTCTCTCTGACTAGTGCTTGTGCCCTATAGGATAGAATATATTAAAAAAAAAAAAAAAAAAGAAAAGATTAAATTTAAGCATTAGCTTCTCTTCCCCTAAGATCAAGAACTGTCCTGAGGCCTGGGAACCAGCAGTGAGCGTAATGGCTATGTCGCTGGACTCCCACGTAGTCGACCGCAGTTCGTGTCCCGGACCTGGTGGCTTAAAACGCCGGGTGTGTGCGTATGTCTCCAAGATCCCGAGAGGAGAAGGATGGAGAAGGGATTGCAGCGTGACCATCCCCCCTGGGGGGTGATTTCTCGCTTTCTGTCTCTCTGTCTCTCTCTGTCTGTCTGGTGAGCTCACGTACCCTTAATTTAAATGTTATTAGGGGCCAGCAGGTGATATGGTAGTTAAGGTGCTGGATCCCACATACTGACTGTGGTTAAAGTCCTGAACCTGGTGGCTTGAAAAACACTGGACTCACATGTTTGCATGCCTAAAATCACAAGAGGAGAATGGAGGAGAAGGGACTGTGGCATGGCCATTCACCTAGAGGACAATTTCTCACCTTTTCTCTCTCCGGCAAGCACATGTGCCCTGTGACAAAAACCTAAAACAAAACAACAAAACATGTAGGTAGCACTGTCGTTACCTGCTACATGATTTAAAGGGAACTTTGCTGTCAAATCAAGCTGGGGGAAGACAAATAAAAACAATTTATCTTTTTTTTTTTTTTCCTTTTTAAAAAATTTTTTTCCATAGGGTCCTAGTGCTTGCCAGAAAGAATGAGAGAAAGGTCAGGGCCGGCAAGTGGCATGGTGGTTAAAGGTGCTGGACTCCCACATGGCCAACTGCGGTTCGAGTCTCAGACTTGGTGGCTTGCTTTCTCGCTTCCTCTTTCTCTCTCTCTCTCTCTCTCTCTCTCTCTCTCTCTGATCAAACTGGAAAATAATAATGATAATAATAATAAATAAAGTTAAATAAAATCTTAAAAAAAAATAAAAAGAAAGAACGAGAGAAAGGTGAGAAAGCACTCTCCAAGGGAAATGATCATACCTCAATCCCTTTTCTTTCCTCCTTTAGTGACCTTGGGCGTGTATGCACATACATCTGGCTTGTTTCTCAAGCTGTCAGGTCTGGGACTTTGAAGTACACAGCCGTGTGGAATCCAGCACCTTAACCCCCTTTCCACAGGCTGGTACACTTGCACAAACCTTAAATTTATGCAGTAATTTTTTTTTTAAAGAAATGTATTAATATCACTTAGCTTTGAGACGTTTTGCCAAATTTGCTGTAGACCATTCTTTTAGAAGAGTTGAAATATTAGCATTCCTAAGCTTATTCTTTTCCCTAAAAATAATCACCATCTAAATCTCAGTGTTTCAACATTCTCAGGCATGTGTGTGATAAGCTGTGATATACTACATGTGGGTTCATAAACATTCTGCAGTCATCATTTTGCATGTTTTTGACCTTTGTGTGAGCAGTCCTGCTATAGCTCTTTTTGTTGATGTGATTTTGAGATTTATGTGTGTCGATACTGCTCTACATAGGCACATTTCAACCAAAGGCACTTTTGTCTCCTTGAGGGTCATTGGTGAATTTCTGGAGACATTTTGGTTATCACAACCGGGTATCGTGTTACTGGCATCTAGTGTGTAAAGATTAGACATGTTGCTAAACACCTACAATGCACTGGACAACTCGCAGATTTTTATTTATTTATTTATTTACTATAGGGCTCATGTGCTTGACAGAGGGAGGGAAAGTGAGAAAGTATTTTCCACGGAGAATGGCCACACGACAACTCTTTCTCTTCCATTCTCCTCTCAGAATCTTGGCCATGCACACACTGTACCTGGTATATTGGGTTTCAAACCCGGCTGAGTCCACTTCTTAGACCACTCAGTCAGCCAAGTGGGATCCAACCACCTTAACCACTGCAGGATGGGTTAGCCTGCTCTAATACTTTTTAAAGGCCCTTTGTACTCTACTCTTTGGAGAAGGAGCAGCCAGGTACGAGGGTAGTGTTTTCTACAGTAATTTTTTAAATCCGAGGAATAAGAAATTTGTGGATTCAGAGTATGTCTGCAATGTAGCCATAGCTTTTACTTTATTTGCAGGTGACATGAAAATCCTAAGAATTGTAGAACACCAGTTTTATAACAGGAAAATAATTTATGGTGAGAAGAGAATCAGGAAAGTTGCCTGCATGGAGTAGGAATTGACTGGGAAAGGACACAAGGGAACTGTCTGGTTGATGGGAGTGTTCTCATCTTCATAGAGATTGGGAAGGTAGAAGAATATTTCAAAACTCATGGGATGGCAAAGTATATTTCACTGTGTGTACATATTTAGTTTATATAGATAGATAATAATTTGGCTCCTGATATGATGCACCTCTGTGATATTCCTTCCAGAAATGCACATCCTGGTTCTCATTGTGAGGAAATATCAGACAGACCCAAATTCAAGTTCCTATAAAAGAACTACAGAACTAGCCTGCATTCTTCATTCAAAAATATTAAGGTTATAAAGAAGCTTCAGATCGGGACCAGCAGGTGGCGTGGTGGTTAAGGCACTGGACACTCCCATGTGGCCGGCCACGGTTCAAGTCCCGGACCTGGTGGCTTGCTTTCTCACTTTCCCCTCTCCCTCTCTGTCTCTCTCTGGTCAAATTAAAAAATGAAAGAATGAATGAATAAATAAATAAATCTTTAAAAAAAATAAAGAAGCTTCAGATAATAGTAACATGAACCTACATTAAATACTGGATAAAGGAAAACCTGTTTTTAAAGAAATTTAATTTGCTGAGACTAGCAAGTAGCACGGTTGTTAAGGTGCTAGACTCTCATACTATCAACCACAGTTCAAGTCTCAGACCCAGTGGCTTGAAAATTATGCTGGGCATGTGTGCCCAAAACCCTGAAAAGAGAATGGAGAAGGGAAACGGCATGACCATCCCCCCCACCCCCACCCCAGGGTGATTTCTCACTTTCCCTCTATGTCTCTATCTTGGGCGAGCACAAAAAAAGTCATTTTCTGAAACATCAGTGGGGACAATTGAGTAAGGATTGTAGATGAGTTAATAGTATTTATTGATGTTATTTCCCAATTCTTAAAATTACAGATGATTATATTACAGAATGTAATTTTTTTTCTCCTTATGTATGTGAGAGAGGTATTTCCACAGTTGATCTTAGTCAAAAGTCCAAGGATTGAGAATAGGTATTTTTTGTTTATTTGTTTGTTTGGAGAGGTTTTTGCTATAGGGCGCATGCACTTGCCAGAAATACAGAGAGAGACAGAGAGACAGAAAGCAAGAAATCACCCACCGGGGCATGGCCATGCCGCAATCCCTTCTCCTCTTAGGATCTTGGGCATGCATGCACGCACATACGCCTGGTGTGAGTTTAAACCACTAGTTCTGGGACTCGGACTGTGGTCAACTACATGGGAGTCCAGCAACATAGCCATTATGCCAACCACTGGTCCCATTCCACTAGGTATTTTTGACAGGGCCTCTGTGTCGTGGTCCTCCTTGCCTAGCTTTTCACTATCCGTGATATAGGCTAAGTATTGGTATTCAGTGTGTTCTGCTTGGCCCAGGGGGTGGCAGCTGATTTATGAGAGCTGCAACCTCAATCCTTCACCACATGCAGTTCACAGTGTCATTTGCCCCCCTGGGAGAATTTCATGTCACAGCTGATCTGACAGGAGGTGGAGCTGAGGTGGATTTGCCAATAATGATGTTGGCT